TTTCAATGCTGCATCTTATAGCTCATAAAGTTGACTTGCCGGGTCTAAAGCCGTGTTGTCTAGGGGAGAGTCCTCCGGCTTCGCTGATGGCCGCTTCGAGTCTGGGTTTAAGTAGACTTTCATAAAGTTTTCCCGTTGTGTCAAGCATACATGGTGTACGGTATGCTGATGGTAAGTTGGGATCACCTTTTCCCTTACTGATTAGCACCAGCTGTTGCTTTTTTGAAGGTTCAGGTAATATTCCGGCTTCGATGCAGGCGTTGTACATATTCAGAAATAATGCTGGACGCTCTGCGACGATTTTTTAAGGATTTCTGCTGGGATCCCGTCCGGGCTGGGTGATTTATTAGTTTTGAGCTTGCCAGTGGCCAGTTGCACCTCTTCGAGGGTGAACTCGGGGATTTGTGGAAGTCTTGTTGTCTGTTCTGGATCATTAATCCTGTTTTAGTGTGTGTGGAAGAGTGCGTTTACGATGTGATCCATTTTGGCAGCGGTTAAGTCATGTGGTCTTAGGCATCGAACTCCGAGTTTCTTTATTACTATTTTGTAACTGAGACCCCAGGAGTTTTTGTTAACGTCCTCGCGTAGTTCCTCTCATTTTCTCTTTTTGCTATCATCGATGACGTGCTTAAGCTCCTATTTCGCCGCTTCATAATGCTCGGCTTCTCGAGATGAGGCTACTCTTCGACTGGATCTCATATACGATCTTCAAAGGCGAAGGCATGTGCGTCTGAGTGGGGCGATATTTTCTGTCCACCAGTAAACTGCCGCTTTACGTTAGCTGTGGGAAGCCTTGGGCATCGATTTGTAACATGCTCTTGTTATATTAAGAATTGTGTGCTCGACAACTTTTCTTGCATTTTTGGGGGAGCTGCTAGATGGGTAATGGTCGTCTATTGCGGAGATTAATTTCGAAGTGTTTAGTTTCGAGACGTTCAATTTTCGGGCTCCAGTATTTTTTTCTGTACTGGTGGGAGTTTTTTCCGGTGTCTACCTCAAAAAAGATGTACTGATGATCGCTGCCAGTGTAATCTTCTAGGACTCTCCATTTCTTTATTAAGCCAACCATGCATTCTGTTGATGTCAGTAACAACATACAGTAAATTGTTTGAAGCGGTTGTTGTTTCAACTCATAATACTCATAATTTGTCTTACACACTATGAAGCAAGCTCTAAAGGATTAGAAATCAGTCTCGAAAAATGAAAAAGGTCAAAAACCTATATTAAAGGCGACTGATGTACTAATCAATAAAAAATTTAGATTAAAGTATTAAAAGCCAAAAGAGTGAAAACAAAGTTTGGTGACAAGGTGATGCAAGAACTAGACGAAAATGTTCTTTTTCTTCCAGAATCCTACACCTCCTTAAAATATTCAACTATTGAAGCTACAAACGATAATACATTTTATATCGAGTTAATTAAACCTGGTGAAAAATTTACTTCACCATTATTCGAATTTCATAAAGGATAAAAAAAAGATAAAAATTAAAATTTAATGTATCCGTGTAGTTTCTGTGAAAAGATATATGTTTAAACAAACATATTACAATGGAACATCAAGTTTCAAAAAAAAATAATTTTTTGTGAGCAATGTAAGATTCAAGTGAAAGAATTGTATGGACAGCACACGTGAGAACAAACATACACAAAAACAAGTAAGGAAGGGCTAAGTTCGGATGTAACCGAACATTTTATATTCTCGCAAAGTCAAATAGTATACTCGTTTGAGATTTCTTTGTGGATTGACTGATATTTTCGGTAGAAGGTCAACTATAGGCACTGGGGTCCACATATTTAGTACTTAGGGGCTTAAACAGTTTTGGTTCGATTTAGACAATTTTTGGCCACAAGGTGGCATACTTTAAACGTATTATTCAAGCAAAGTTTTACGCCGATATAATCATTGTTGCTTGATTTGCATAGTGGAAAGTGAAAGAATCAAGTGGTATTAAAATGGTAACATATGGAAAATAGGCGTGGTTGTAACCCGATTTCGCCCATTTTCGCACTATGACATAGAAACATGAAAAGAACGTTACGCACCGAATTTGGTTGAAATCACTTAAGCAGATCTCAAGATATGGGTTTTCACCTAAAAGTGGGCTGTGCCACGCCCACTGTCTAATTTTCTAAATAGTTTCTTTTATTTGAACATATTTACAAAATAGTTCAAAGTTAAATTTGATGACATTTAACATTACTATTTACACTATACATACAGTATTTTATACTCTCGCAACCTGTTGCTACAGAGTATAATAGTTTTGTTCACCTAACGGTTGTTTGTATCACCTAAAACTAATCGAGTCAGATATAGGGTTATATATATATAAATGATCAGGATGAAGAGACGAGTTGAAATCCGGGTGACTGTCTGTCCGTCCGTCCGTCCGTGCAAGCTCTAACTTGAGTAAAAATTGAGATATCTTTATAAAACTTGGTAGACATGTTTCTTAGTACCGTGAGAGTACTTTTAGGTGAAAACCCATATCTTGAGATCTGCTCAACCGATTTCAACCAAATTCGGTGCATAACGTTTTTTTCATGTTTCTATGTCATAGTGCGAAAATGGGCGAAATCGGACTACAACCACGCTTACTTCCCATGTAACACCATTTTCAATTCCATCTGATTCTTTCACTTTCCACTATGCAAATCAGGTAACAATGATTATATCGGGGTAAAACTTTGCGTGAATAATGCAATTAAAGTATGCCACCTTGCGGCCAAAAATTGTCTAAATCGAACCAAAACTGTTCAAACCCCTAAGTACTAAATATGTGGACCCCAGTGCCTATAGTTGACCTTCTACCGAAAATATCAGTCAATCCACAAAGAAATCTCAAACGAGTATACCATTTGACTTTGCGAGAGTATAAAATGTTCGGTTACATCCGAACTTAGAATCTATATTTGAGTAAACCAGTTAGAATGCTTCCATTAACTGTCAATCAACTTAAACGTCAAAAAGAGGATATAGTTTGTCATATTTGTGGAATGGAACTTTTATTAACTGATAGGGTAGCAGACCATTGTCATTTACCTGGAGAATATAGAGGACCGGCACATAGAAAATTTAATTTAGAATATCAGATAGTAAATTTTATTCCAATATTTTTTCATAATTCATCGATATATGATTGTCATCTATTTATAAAAGAGATGTCGTCTATTAAGAGGGATATAAATATAATTCCCTTAAAAAAAGAATTATATATTTCCGTATCAAAGAAGATATATGTTAATTTAAAAGATATCATTGAACTTCGGTTTTTAGATTCATTTCTATTGATGCCTTCTAATTTAGACAGTTTAGCTAAGAATTTAAACAATAATAATTTAGAAATAACAAAGGCTTTTTTCCCTAACGATCATCACTTTGTTTTAACGTAAAGGTATTTTCCTATATGACTACTTAGATCCGGAAGAACGTCTCAACGAAACACCATTACTAGTTCGTTCACATTTCTTTAATAAATTAACAAATGAGTCTTGTAGTATCGATGATTGTCAGCATGAACAAAATGTTGGTAAACATTTAATTGTTCTGATTTATTAGATTATTTGTTATTGTTTTAAAAGTAGATGTGCTACTCCTCAGTGACATTTTTGAAAATTTTAGAAAGTTATGCAAAGGAATTTATCAACTAGATCCATGTCAATATTATACATCTTCAGGTTTATCTTGGGATGCAATGCTTAAAATAACTAAAATAGAATTAGAGTTATTGACTGATGAAAACATGCAAAATTTTATTTTGTCTGGGATTAGGGGAGGTATTGTTCGATGTTTTTAGCGACAATCAATTGCTAACAATAAATATTTAAGTCATTTCGATATGACTAAGCTTCCATTTATCTATGTCACAATATATCCCTCATAATAATTTTGAATGGGTTGAAAACGTAGAGGAGTTTAACGTTTTTAGTATGCCAGAAGATTCTTCAGTTGGTTACATATTAGAAGTAGATTTAGATTATCCCATAACCATTCACAATATTCATAATGACTACCTATTTTGTTTTGAAAATAAAAAAGTTGGTTCAATGAAACACTCAAAGTTGATTGGTGATTTGGGACCCAAAATAAAGTACATTATTCAGTATAAAAATTTACAACAATGTATAAAACATGGACTTATATTAAATAAAATTCATAGAATTCTACAATTTAATCAATCGGATTGGTTAAAAAAATATATTGATTTAAATAATTATCATAGAACATTAGCTGCAAATAAGTTTGAAGAAAATTTCGTTAAATTATTAAATAATGCAGTGTATCTGAAAACTATGGAGAATGTCGATAAAAGAGTAAATGTTCAATTAGTACAAGATTAGGAAAATACTAATGCTGGGGAAAGAGGTAGAACAAAAGGGTGCTAGAGCCTTAATAGCAAAACCAAATTTCCACAGTCTATCAAAATTTTCTGATGATTTAATAGCGATTCAAATGAAATAAGCGGTAATTCTGTACAATAAACCGATATATATTGGTTTTACTGTTTTAGAACTTTCTAAATATAAAATGTATAGTTTCCATTATGATGATATTAAAAAGAAATATTAGAAGAATATTGCTTTGATTTATATGGATACTGATTCATTCAGATATGATATCCAAACTGACGACTTTTATAATGATATTCATGTTGACATTTCAAAAGTTTTTAATACTTCTTCATATCCAATAGAAAATATTTTTAATTTTCCTCGGTTGAAGGTATGACGAAGGATGAATGTAATGGAAAGTTAATAAAAGAATTTGTTGGTTTAAGAGCGAAAATGTATTCATTTAGAATTGATAATGACATAAATGAAACTTAGAAAATTAAGGGAATAAAAAAGTGGGTAACTTCTACATTGAAGTAAGTGATGTTGGAAAATAAATTGTATAATGCATCAGTGTATACATTTAGATCTAAATTACATACGATTTATACTCAAAATAGTTATAAAGTAGCTCTAAACAATATAATAAATAAAAATTTTAAACATAATTGAGCACATAATACTATGTTATATTTTTGTTTCTGTTCATTATTGTAATATATTGGTGGCTTCAGGTAATTAATCAGTTCTACAGGTGGCTGTAAATTTCCAAAAGTATCAAAATAATCTTTATAATTTTTGTTTTTATAGTATGCTCCCAATGAGAACCAGGGCCATCAGCATCATCTAAATTAAGAATTCCACATTCTTAAGATTTCGGTTTATTCGGTAAAGAATTTCGCATAAAAATTCTTCTAAAATGTTTAAGATGTTTACAATATTTCAATAAATCGACACCGGTTAATGGTCCTTGTGTAGGTTTCTTTGTTAGTTTTTTGGATAGGGTCGTAAATATAAACCATATCCCTTTTTATAGGGCTTGAGGAATAAACCCCTCTCCATAGCGGTTGATTCCATATATCTACGGCTAGCCTCATTCAATTGTTCCTTTCCATTCTTGATATCATTCAAAACTTTTGCTATAGCTGATCCACCAGATGGAAGATAGGAAGGAGTGGTAAAATTCCACCAATCTTTGGGACTGGAATTGTTCTCGGTATGTTAATTTTTTTATTTTTAAAGCTTTTAAAACTTTATAGTATCCTGAGAAATTTTATAACCCTCATTAAATGACTGCGGCTTCTTTTTGTTAAGCATGTTGATACCTTAACTGCCATCAAAAAAAATATGTTTGATGTCACTTTTCCTTTTTTCATCTTTTTACCTTTTTTACATTTAGATGTCTTTTCTTACTTTTAATACCCATTTCCAATTTGAGTTTTGCTTTCATTGCATTTGTAACGAACCAAGTGTTTGCTCGTTCTGTCCTTAGATGTAACACGTTGCCAGGCTTTCTCAGATAAAACTTTAGCAGCTTGGTGTCTGATATTTATATCTTTTGCTTGGTAATATGCAATATCATGTTCTCTGCAGGCTGCATCTAAAAGCTTTACACCCTTATCTCCTCTTTCAAACCGTTGTCGGAGTTTTGTTCCAGAGGCACAAAATTGATATCCGGGTAAATGAAGTTTAATAGGCAAAGAATTAATCAAAGTATTTACCAAATCCTGTCCAATATTTTTATGTATTAGTCCCATTAGGTGATTTTTTTTTTGTTTTCTCAATAATAATATGGGTGAGTTATATCTAAATGATGTCTTTATTATAAAAGTGATGGTTTATATTGCTGTAAATCTAGTAAACAAAATGAAAGTAGTTAAACAACGTATCCAACTTAAGGTTAATAACGATAACAATTATATAAATGTTAAAAATATTACTAGACAATGCACTTTTACCAAATTCCATACGAGCGCTGATTGTCGGACCATCGAATTGTTGTAAAACTAATGTTATGCTCATTTTAATTGAAAGCCCAAACAGGCTTAATTTCCGAAATATTATATATACATTTATACAAAATCATTATATCAGCCGAAATATATCTATTTAAAAAGGCTTATTGATCTAATAAAAGGAGTAACCCACTGAAGCCAAAGCGGACTCAATTTTTTATTCGATGATGTAATATGTGGAAAACAAAATACAATACGAGATTATTTTGTATGGGTCGTCATAAAAACAGTGATTCTTTTTATTTATGTCAAACTTATACAAAAATTCCTAAACACTTAATTCGTGATAATTCAAACATGCATATTGTGTTCAGGCAAGATGAAATGAATCTTAAGCATATCTAATGACCATATTATTGGAGATATGTTCTACAAAACATTTTTAAAAATTTGTACCGAGTCTTGGAGAAACAAATACGGCTTTATTGTTATAAGTAAAGATGATCCTATAAACAATGGTCGATATCACAAGGGTTTTGATAATTTTATACAATTATAAAACATTTATAAAAACATATGTCAGACCAGATTCGTATTAAATATAGAACTAATAGGTAGCAGATTTTTCACTCACTTCTTAAAGACCATGTTAAATAATCAAATGACTGAATTAGCAAATATTGCTAAAACTAGGAAAGCATTAAGAGAAAAAATTAAAGGAATGAAATTAGGAGAATTGGATAGAATAAACTTGTTGGAGGTTACGTTTAAACCCATTTCAAAAAAAATTAAATGAATTAGTTGATAATTTTAAAAACTGTAATAAATATAATGTTACTAATTATAATGGTAATGATGAAATTTGGGAGGCGGACGGTGTAAAAGAAAGTGAAGACATAACAGTTGATATATTACCAACCGTTGGCAATTATATGAATGCTAATGATTTTGATTTAGAATATTCTGCAGATAGTTCTCAGGAACAAAATGTTAAGAAGCGAAATCCTATTAATATCATTAATAAATAATGCTTTGATAAAAAACAAAAAATAGATATGGTTGTTACCACGCCCACTTTAAAAAAAAATTTTAACTGCAGATACCCCTTCCTAATGTGATCCTGTGTACCAAATAACAGTCTTGTATCTTATTGCGGAGCTTAATTATTTCAATTTATTTGTTTTTGATTGATGGCGTTTTGTGGGCGTGGCAGTGGTTCGATTATGCTCCTCTGAAATACCAACCGTTTCGCGATACCAAGAAACATATCTACCAAGTTTCATAAAGATATCTCAATTTTTACTCAAGTTAGAGCTAAAACTATTATATTCTGTAGCAACAGGTTGTGAGATAGAAAATTAAACCAAATATTGATAATAAACCTGAAAGGCGAAATCCTTTTAATATCATTAATTAAGAATTATTTGATAAAAAACCAAAAATAGATAAGGTTGTTAGCCTTAAGTAAAAAATAAATTTTATGAATGACTCCGAGAGGCCAGCATCGTATATTCCAAATAAACCAAACGATGAACAATTACTAAACAAGATAGTAGAAAGTCAAAATCAAGCTGAAACGAATAATGATAATACTTCTTCAACTGAAAATGATATTTTAAGAAGAATCGAAGAAGATCCCGATCTGTGGAAAAGACATAAATTTGTAAAACGTCAGTCTGAAAATCAACTAAATGAAGACTTTATACAAAGGGTCGATGGCGTTTTGGACTCAAACCATTAAAAATTAATTCTAAGGATGTTATTCAGATCGGAAAGGATAAATGGAAAATGACACCAGGTATGTTCGAGTTAATATTTCATAAAAACCCCCAACCAAACCAACATTATAAAAAGTGTGATTTGAAGACTTATCGACAGATTTTGTTAGATACAAGTACTCACAAACGTAGTTATACCCTAAACAGTCAAATTAAGGGAACAAAATCATTTAATTATCTATATATTATCAGGAAATTCTTCAATTATATTCCACACTCGTTCATAAGTGGTAGAGGTTTATAGAAATCAATCGATTACCGCAAAAATATTTATCAATATTATGATAATCCTAATGAGTTGGTGGATAGATTGAGATTGCTTATATATTCAACAAGTGCCGGTCATAATAACCATCAAAACGAGATTTTATCAATTATTGAACAATTGCGAGAATCAAATATTATCAAATAATATGAGTATAAATAAATTTGGAATTCCTCATTTAACAATAATACGTCGAAAGAGAAAACAATTCTAGACCGAAACAAAAATCTCAATTTAAACAAGAAAAGAATAATTAATCTAACTGCTTCTATAGAAGACGACGATGCCATTTCGAAAGTATTCCTTTTAGAAACGTTAAATAAGATGAACAACAAATTAGAACATCAAATCAGAGAAATATTGTAAATGTGATTCTGAATAATAGTATTAAAAATGATGTATCAATTCTTGAGGATCTAATGGACCAACTAAAAAAACGTGCATATGGGGAAGAATTACATAATATTATATAAACAACTAATTATTAACCATTGAAGATTATTTTGATGCGTTTCGTTGTATCGAAACAACATCCTACTGAAAAAGACGTTGAAGTGCGTAAAATAAAGTTCCCTACTATAAAAGGATTAGCAAAATGAATATTAAAAGAGCTATTGTAGAAGAGTTACATAAACAAGCTAGAAAAAATTTTAAATGAAGACGTGTTATTATTAAAGGAATCGATGATTTATGGCAAGCTGAATTGGTGGTAATGACTCAGTACTCAAATAGTAATAATCAATATCAATATCTTTTAACTGTAGTCGATAAATTTTTTAAAAAAACTTAGGTCGAAGCAGTTAAAAATAAAACTAAAGAAAATGTAACAAATTCAATGGCTAAGATTTTAAACTCAAGTAACCGTATACCGAAAAACCTACAAACAGATTATGGAAAATGAAATTTATAATAGGAATTTTAAAAGATTATTACAAACAAAAAATATAATATATATAAATATTGGACACCGCATACAACAATTTAAAAGTTTTTCATAGACCAAAATTTAATATAAATGATGAGGTTAGAATAAGTAATATAACATGTATTTGAAAAGGGGTATACACCAAATTGAACAACAGAAGTTTTAAAAATAAAATCAATTAAAAACACAAATCCTACAACATATATACTTGAAGACTATCTAGGTAATACTATTAAGGGGGCATTCTAGGAATATGAACTAATGAAAACTAAGATCCCTCATGTATATTTAGTTGAAAAAGTTTTGAGACGTCGAAACAATAGAGTTTATGTTAAATGGTTAGGTTTTTCTTCTGAACACAATTCCTGGGTGAATGTTAATGACTTAAGTAAAAAAAATAAATATATAAATATATATCTATACATATATATATGTATTATAAATAAAAAAGTGTTTTAAAAGTTATTTCAGTTAGGTATCTAATGATAAACAATCAACATGTCAATTACATTAACAATAAATGGTAATTCATCTATACTGGTTGCAAATTATTTCCCTCCCATAGAACTCAAACAAGATTATGTTTGTGGGTTAATTAGTTTTGACTCGTATCATACAATTTCAAATGTGGACAAAGAAAACAATTTGTTTCACATTGGATCGAGTGTTTTTGAAATACCTGTTAGAACATATGAACTGGATGATATATTGTAGTCGCGAAGAAGTGAATTTTGATAAAAAATACTCAATTGGACCATTACTAGGTTTCAGTAAAAGAATATTGGAGCCAGGGATTGTTTATTACTCTGACTATCCTGTGGATATAACAAAAATAAACACAATATCCGTTGAATGTAATATCATCAATGGATCATACATAAACGAAACATCTATGCATACAATACATCAGTTTTCTCTTAAAGTTAGCCCAGGATATAAAATCTCAGAAACACCAACTAATGTTATATGTATATTTACCAGTTAATACTCTTCAAATAAGCACTCTAGTTGTTAAAGTTGTTAATTAAACGGGTGACCTGATTAATTTTCGTGGAGAAGACATATCAATAAGACTACATTTAAAACCTATCTAAAGAAAAAAATGATAATTTTTAATAAAAAGCAGCCGCATACAGATTTTATGAATAGTTTTGAGTCATCCTCAAAAGAATTGGCTACAAAAACAAAAAATTTACGCTCTAAAGAGGAAAATTCTCTTGTTCAGCATAAAATTGATTTAACCCCATCGAATAAGGGGTTTCTAATAAGTCTAGGATTTAATTTGAAAAAATGAGTGATATAATAAACATTTTGTACAAGCCCATTTTTGATAATAGCATAATAAAATAGGATTATCATAGCAACATACCATACTTACAATCGTTTCAAAACTAAATAGTTGTATGTCCTATTTATTTGAGGAGATACGATATGAAATAAATCGAATATAAATTGATCGCACTAGAAAGTTGGGTATTGCAACAGAAATAAAAAATTATGTATCACTTAACACATTTGAAAATACAAATCTAAAAAATGCAGGGTGGTGCCATTTTGAAAATATTCCCCTAAAGACTGGTAATATCAATTTTTGTGTATTATTGAAAATCTGCTTGGGTTTGCTGAAGATTTTGATAAAATTATTGTTAATTGTTAAAATGAATTAGTTTTAATATGAGCTAAAGAAGATGATGCAGTTATGAAGACAACTACAGACAAAGAAAAGCTTACATTAAAACTTTTAAATATTACTTGAAAAGTGCCACATATTCAACTTTCAGACTTATATCGATTAATTATGTTGAGAATAATTAATAGTAAACAACCACTAAACATTTCGTTTAGAAGTTGGGACGTCTACCACAACCCCTCTCTAGAGAAAACCACTAATATCTTATGGAATGTTAAAATGGAATTAAAGACCTCGCTATATTCTTTTAGGATTTCGAAATGAAAATAAATTTAAACATTGTGACTTATTAGATATTAAAGTACTCCACTACATATCCATATGATGATCTTAATATTATATTTGAACGAAATCGGTATGCTCTATTATATGACATGTTTTTAAAATTTCAACAAAGTTATTATGGGCGCACTCCACAACCACTTTTATCACCTAATCAATTTGTTGAAACTGCTCCAATAATTGTTTTAGATGTAACACATCAAAATGAATCTAAAAAAAGCGGCCCCATGGATATTCAGATTGAGCTAAAATTTGATAAATTCGTCCCTGATAACACCGCCGCTTATTGTATACTTATGAATATATTCCATTTACAAATGTGATTAAAAAGATTATTTACATAATAAATAAATTAAAAATTACAATTTTATTCTTAACCACAACATTATAATACTTATCGTACAAAAAAAA